TATAACTTTCTTCTAAACTTTTATCCTCATTTTTAGTCATAGTAATAAAGCTGATGAGTTCTCTAATAATTTGTCTTTAGCATTCTTATCCCATTTTGAAATATACAAAGTGGTCCATCGTTGATAATACAACAAGGAATGTGATGTTACATAAAAACAATAATTCGAAATGTAGAACAAGGATTCTTTGACATTCCACACATAAAATCTGTTTTTGAAAATATCTAGTTTAAAGATTGCAAAATATATATATTAATTTTATTATATTGGCGAATGTTTTTTTCTTAACTTTAAGTTTTTAAACTATCAATGTCATTTATATCACGAATAAAACATAAGTTCTCTTTCATAATAAGTTTGAATTAAAAAAAAGATATCTTTATCTAGGAATATATTAGGAAGTTTGAACTTATTTTTTCTTTCTTTCTTAAGAGGACCTTTATATAAGACCTTTTTTTCCAATCATAGCACCCGTAATAGTAGATCACAACTTATACATAATTTGTGCATAACTCGGATATAACAATTTGAATATTATAAAATTTAGCAAATTGATATCATGAAATGATATCTTCAATCTATTTTTTTTTTAAATGTCTGGAATGTCTGAAAAATGGAGTGTACCGTTCAACAAGTGTTGGTATGGTATCACAAAAGTCATTATATCATAGTTAATTTACTTCATTCATTTAGAGGTCGCTTTTCGGACGGCTCGTTTCGACTCGGTTAACTTTCTCGGAATGAGACTTCTGAGCTTTTTGCTTGGAAGCATCTTGTTCTACTTTTACGTTCTTTTTGGATTGTATATCTTCTTCAGATTTCACATTTGGAGATTTTGATTTCGCATTGCTAGCTGTTTTTGCATTGTCCTTCTTCACTTCGGCAGATGATTTAATTTCTGATGGTTTCGCATTGTTATTTGTAGGTTTATCCGCTTTAGGAGATGATTTTGGTGCAGCGGTTGACTTAGATGTTGTGGGAGTAGCAGTTGACTTAGGTGTTGTGGGAGCAGCGGTTGGTTTAGGCGTCGTTGTGGGAGCGGCGGTTAGCTTAGGTGTCGTAGGAGCGGCAGTTGATTTTGGTGTCATAGAACCTGTGTCTCGTTTCACTTTTTCTGTCTTTATATCAACATTTGGTAATTTCTCACTCTTGGAATGAGAAAATTGCTTTCCACTATTAGCTAGATCAGGAAAAGCTTGTTTTAACGGAACTCTAGCGAGATATTTATTCCATGGAGAGCCAAACCATAAAAAGCCATTGTGTATATGAGCCGCACTCATATGAGATATTGTATCATCTTCTGAAGAAAGAATTTCAATAATGTTACCGGATGCATCTATTCTCAACAACAGGCTTTGATCTTTTGCTTGTATTAACGATCCAAGACTATGGAATGATCCGATCGCGTGCAGAAGTCTCTCCGTGAAAATATTGGGATAGATATCGTGCAACAGTTTAAATGGTAATTCCATCGTCAGTAACAATCGCACTAACATTTTTCTGATATATGGATGCGGCGCAAGAGACTGAAAAAGTTGAGGATGCTCAGAATCGATAGTTATGATCAAAGTCACGAGAAAACCACCTTGACCATCGCTGTGGATATTGTCCGGGAGACCTGGTAAACCATCAATGAAGATCTCCTGCTGCCCTGCTTTTGGTCCTTTCAGATTATACTTCATGATACGATTTGCTTGCGTTTCCGCCACAATTACGAAACTCTCGTCATCGCTTAACATGATTCCATTTGCGAATGCAAGATTTCGCATCAATACTTCATTTTTCTTTTCAACTGCATTATAACGTATGAGCCTGTAATTTATATAACACATTAATACATACATCTACATAAATATAATGCACACACAAAAACACAACTCGCATTCATGTCTTATTACCTTCCCGATGGATTCGCTAGAAACGACTGCACTATATCGTAAAGCGCAAAGTCGGTGCTAGAAACGGTCCAATAAAGATCTCCATTTTTTGCAATATCTATGCTATTAGGAATCCGTGAAATTTTTCCATCAATCGGCTTCGAAATGTTCACTATATTTTCATAATTTTTGGTTGTCACATTTACTTTGAAAATTCCATAATAGGTATCCACCACATATAAATTGCCTTTTTTATCAAATTTCATTCCTAAGGCTCTGCCACATTTGTGTTCTTGCCAAATACCTTCTATAAATTTGATAAGAAAACGTGTTAGTTTTATTACTTTTTATATAATCGATTGTATTAATTATGCAAAAATTATTCATATTTATTAATTTTATGTAACTGTTTACATATATATATATACACACACACACACACACACACACATAAAATTTCAATTTTGTCAATTTGATATTCAACTAAATTCTCATAAATATAACGGCAGATGTAAAATTTGCTTTTTCATTATATCATACTATGCACACTTATAAAATGACCATGAAAAATTAATTTAATTAATTAATTAATTAAATAAAAGAAAAAGAGAATATAAAAAATTTTGAAATTTGATGCCTTGTTCTGTGACAATGCTTAATTAAAGAATATTTAAGCAATATTTCATGCATACATGCTATAGATAACAAGTAAAGAATTAAATAATTAAAGCATGAATGCACTAAGTTAATCTTTCTTCTGCTTTTACAAGTGTGATGGAATATTTATGTATACACAAGCAGTAGCAAATCTATAATTAAAGTAACTTAATGATTTAATTGCAAAATATTAAGAAAGCAATGACGTCTATATTTCTGACATATGTGTATTTTTTAAAATTATAATTAAAATATATAATTATCATTTATTTAATTAAAACTTTTTTCTCATTTTTTAGAATTTATGTAATAATTATATTAAATTATAGAATAGAATTCATATTTGCTATACATTTTTTTATTTTTTTATATATGTAGTTATAACATTTAAAATAATCTTTAACTTAAAATAAATTTGATATAATTTATATTATAAGTTTATCATATTTTATTATATTTACCTAATTAGAATATTGATCATTTATGATTTTATTTAAATATTAATTTAATTTATTTATATCAAGTCTATTTAATTAGATTTAAATTAAGTTTTTTCCTTTAAGAAAATGAAATATCAATCTCAGACGAATATATATATCACCAAACTCAATATTCTTCATCAGTTTATGTGCAAAATAGAAGATAAATATAGACAAAGTAGTCCAAAGATCAAACAAACTTCCTTTATATGCATACTGAATGCATAAATAATTTCTTAAGCATATACAATTGACAAGATACATCGACTGATTTATAAATAGATAAAATTGTGATATTCCCTTATCTATCTTGTATATGTATCTAATCTATTTATTTAAACAATTCTATCACTAACAAGATTTTATTACATCTTGTTCTATTTTAGTTCCTTTCCATCAAATTCCATTAAAATTCAAAATTTCTATCATTAAAGATAATTTTATCCCAGATAATTTTATCTATCTTTTATAATATCAGACACACCTATCCGTACTCACCGCATTTCTTGCCGAACTTGACAATCGACACCAGGCGATCCTCCTCGATCCTAAGGATGTAACCGCCATGAGCGCCAGTGTAAAGCTGACCGTCGTAAGAATCAAATCCTTCTGGACCATTGATTTCACCATCGAATAACTTCTCGGCATTGTTCAATCGATTTTTCGGGCCCACCTTAGGATCAAACTTGCGCGGCGGCGTTACGCTGCAAGATCGAAGGTCAAGAACAAATCAGATCCGCAATTTTCTCTTTTTTTTTCATCTAATCACGTTTACAATACCTGAACTCCTGGAATTCCGTGTCCGGTGGTAGACCAGGCATGAACGTGATCACGGCCAGGAACACGCCGATGTAGATGACGGCGGTACCAATCGACTTCAGGTAACTCATCTTGCCGGTGCGCGGTAAACGCCCCGTCGCAGCTTCCTCGAATGTCGAGTTCCTCGGGTAGACACGGTGCTGATATCACCTCGTTTCCTTCGTTAGATTCAAGAGCAAGTCAAAGGATGCACTTCACCTCGGAATCACCTCGCGTTCGCGACGTGTCGCGATGTGGACTCGTCGTCGTTCTTGTCGTTCTCGTCGTCGTCGTCGTCGTCGTCGTCGTTATCGTCGACGGCGGTGGACGGTGCCGGGGAAAATGGAGATCGGCGACCTCTGTGGTAGTGATTTAACTGTTTTCACGATACACGAATAACGGGCAACGGCACACGTCCGCACCAATCCAATGGCGGTGACGCTCCTATGCGATGTGTGATATTTTGCGTGGTATTTTGCCTTTGGGCATCTACTTGTCAGACGATCACTCCCAGGGAAAGGCAGGTCTCATCTCGCAAACGTCACGAAGTTGTCCTGCCGATTTCCCATGACGAAAATCCCGTTTTCGGCAGAGATTAAAGTAAAATCGGGCCGGATAGAGATGACTATTCATAGTCATCAATCTTTTCTCTATATTTAAGATCGTCTTAAGTACCGTTACCTCGTTGACCGAATGAAATCTCAAGCTGGACTTAATACCTGAGAATTGCCGTCCTATCACCCATCGTCCCATAGTGTGCTCTTTGACATTCACGTTCCTGAACTTCGACTTATCGAACTTTTTTCTCCCTTGTTGTGCGAAGTTGGCATATTTTAAATTGAATTCGGATTGTTTTCTGATATGAAAATGTGATGATACTGACGAGTTAGATTTAGCTAGAAATGTAATTAATTAATTAATTGTAGATATTATATATAAAAAAAAATAACTATACTAATTACAGAAAGCTTTATGTTCCATTCACCGTGACTCGTTATCTTTAATCTTCAGAATAATTATAGCTTACAACGATCATTTGATACGTATACTAAATAGTTTATTTGTGTTAGTGATATAATTTGATATAAACTATAAGAGATTAGATATAACAGATGGGAATAAAAAATAAGGAATTAAATATAAAAAAAGATTAGGAATAAATAATAATATAATAATAATAATAATAATAGGAATTTTTTACTTTATATTTAATTTTTTGAAGGAATAACAAAATATTCTGTTGATCGAAAGAAATTTTCTGTTCTAATTCTTTATAATTAATTCCTTATTCTTTATTGTCATTTATTATGCCTGAGTTCTTATATTTTTTCATCAAAACATGTTCAAAGTAACGCGATGAGCACATATGTGATTTTTTTTTGACAGATAAGGATAGTCAATCTTTCAACTCTACGCTTGCTTGTTGCAATTGAATTTTTGTACTTTCTCACTTTTTATCCTTTTCTCGTCAACGCTCGATTCTAATGTCGATCTCATTTCAAGTGCATAAAGTGCAACACTGAAGTGTAACACAGCGCAGTTGCTGATAAACAAAAATTCGACATTTTGATGGCGGGACGGATTCCACAGTCTTAATCGTGTCTTTTAAAACAATTTTAGACATTATATATAAATCTTGACATTATAAATGATTGATCTGTGTTTCTAGTGATTGCTGTCACGCTCATGCGAAAATTTCATGTGTTTAAAAAGAAAAGATCTAGCCGACGTTGATTTCCAACGTGACAAAATTCGTTAACAACTGTTCAATTGACGAAGCGAAAAGTCATCGATATTTTTCTTCTTTCTGATGTCTCAAAGTTCTATATCGTGCAAAACATCTTATTATACATTTCTTCAATAGAATCTATTCCTGTTTTTCTTTGTTTTTTAGATAAGCTTGAAGCTCTCAGAGATACAACGTTAGATGTGAAGATTAGAAATGGGTAGATATTTAATAATAACTTTATTAAATGTAGCAGTGAACAAAAGCAGAGTGCAATATAATAATAATAATATATAATAATAATTATTATAATTATAATAAATAATTATGATAGAAAATATCAGAATAGCTTATTGGATATCTGATTAATAGAAACAAATCAATTAATTCTGATAGCAAAATCTGCAAAAACAGATTTTGAGCAGAGCCTGCTACCAATATTTGATAGTAGAAAGAAAACGAATTACATACAGTGTTTGTAATATTTGATAATGTTGGCAAACTGCTGTCAAAAATAATCTGCTGATATTAGCAGACTCGGTTTGGTTTTTGTCACCAATCTGCTGATGTAGCATGTCAGCAGGCTTTGTCGATAAAACCTGAGTCTAATGCAGATACAGATTGCTATGGATTTGCAATCACTATCCAATCGAATTTGCTGCTACTCTGCCAGTAAATTGCTAACATTTTGCTTGCTGGGAATATAAATAAATTAACAATATTATGTTTTTAAAATATTAAGAAAAATTAAATATAAATATATATGACATAGTTATTGACATAGAAAATATAACATCTATTTTTTATAACTGTGTGTTGCACTTAAAAGAAAATAAATATATTTTTGAAAAAGTAAGAAAGAAAATATTTTATTGCTGTCTAATGACAATAAAGAATAGGTTTAATTTAATATTTTGTCGGAAATCAATAAATTCATCTTGAATCCTAAAGGCTCAGATACAATTAATATAAATAAAGAATTAAATATTCAGAACAAAAAATTTCTTTTGATTAATGATAGACTGAATAACACTTTAATATTTCTTGATTGTGTTTTAAAATATGGTTTCCTATTTATCGAATTTTAATTCTTTATTCTTAATTTTCCTTATATTTCTTTGTTTTTTTATAACATTTATTGTATCTGGATTTTAAAAGAACAAAAATTATAAGAAAATGCCTCATATGAGTGTAATGCAATATATACAATAATAATGTCAATAATGTTATTCTGAATTTAGATGATCTCGAGCAGCAGTGTGAAGATGCAGTATTTGAGGTATGTGACGCTCGAGAAAGATATCCACTACAATGTGCAAATGAGCTTGAAAAATCTATTAAACTTACCAATGAGATATATGTAAGTATTCCTTATTACTATTTATTTTACTATATATTTACTTACATTTATTATTTGTATGCTTTGTTACAGATGACAAAGATTTTTGCAAAGCCATCGGATAGTACATCAGTTCTGGATGTACCATTTCTCACAAATGAACACTTGACAACATTTCAAAAGAACTTCACGGAGACTACTGAACTGTTGAAGACACATGAACATAAATTACAAGTTATGACAGATAAAATTAATAACTTGACAGCTGTTTTGGATCAGATTAAGAGGGACAATTTGTGTGAATTCAATAAATTATTGTGGAATTAATTATATCTTCTTTTTAATCTATTTGCCTTACTATATATATTGTGTACAAATTGTAAAAAAGAAAGGTAACTTTATATCCTAAAATTATTTAAGTAATCTTCTGACAAATTGTATTAATTGAATAAGGCATCTTGCAAAATATTCACATTATTAATAATGAAAATATAAATGGACTGATTTTAAAACTTGCACTATTCCTTAATGTTGTTTCCTTGGTAACGAGTTTTGCTTTGTGTCAAAACAATATGCATGAATGCACATGTTGAGTGTGGTACATGTGATATAACCCACTGTAAAGCAAAAGAATATTATTTATTAAAGTTTTGTGGTTCATTATTGTAATTCTCGTTATGTCTACATTTATAGAAAACGTGCATATAAAAGATGGAGAATACACTAAAATAATATATAATATGGTACATATTTAACCATGCATATATTAAAAAATTAAGAAAATAAACCCAACTCGTAATTAATTGAGAAATTAAATTGAGAGAATAAATTTTCAAACGATCTTGTATAAAACACATGGTTTAGTATTCTTGATTCAAAGACCAATGTGTAATTGTTTGTGTGTAATTGTAATTGTTTGTATGTAATTGTTTCAGATAAAGGAACAGCGATACACTGAAACTATTAAAATCTTGCTAAATCTTTTAGATTCTCATCCTAATGTATGTATACTATAATGTATAATATTGTGTATTACGGTTTGCATAAACATTGCCAATAAAGCGTTTTTCAGTCTAGACCTTGTTTGTCTCTTCTGGCCCATTGTTACTTTTACACGCAAGATTTCATGGCCGCAGCTCAATGTTACGAGAAACTGGTTCAACTGTGTCCAGAGGAGAATCTTTATAAGCTCTACTATGCTCAGTCTTTGCATCAAGCTTGTATGTTCCCGGAAGCATGGACGATCTGTTCGAGCATCATCAATCAAAGTAATATGGAATTCAAGATAAAAAAGCTGCAGGCAGCTATAAAATATGGACAGGAAGATATGGTAGCTGCGAAGAATCTCGTGGATCAATGTCCCGCTGACGATGTGGATACAGAAATCAACTTGGGGTGTCTCTTATACAAGGTATAGATAGTGATAAGTAAGCTCGACAAATGAATATACATGATTACTTTTCTAGGAGGAGCAGTACGAGCAAGCTCTCAAGAAATTTGCAAATGCATTGCAGATCGCGGGATTTAGGCCTCATTTATCATATAACGTTGCTCTTTGCTACTTCAAACTGAAAGAGTACGCAGCGTCGTTAAAGCACATTGGTATAATCTTTGTATCGATTTTGCCAATGCGAATTATAACTTTGCGTTTGTTTGCTAATTTTCATTAAATTCTTTATTGTCATTCAGCCAGTATTATCGAGCACGGTATAAGGGAACATCCAGAATTGAGCGTAGGCATGGCCACCGAGGGTATCGAAGTTCGAAGCGTTGGGAATACATTGACTCTGCACGAGACAGCTCTGACAGAGGCGTTCAATCTGAAAGCTGCTATCGAGTACCAATTGCAAAATTGTATATAATTTCATAGATTTTGATTCTATGAAGATCCACACGCTTTTTTACATTTATTGTTATTATAGATGACGCAGCGAAGGAGGCGTTAACGGATATGCCGCCACGTTCCGAAGAGGAGCTCGATGCCGTTACTTTACATAATCAGGCATTAATAAATATGGATACAAAACCGAGTGAAGGTTTCGAGAAACTACAGTTTCTGCTACAGCAGAATCCCTTCCCACCTGAGACCTTCGCCAACCTGTTACTTCTATATTGTAAATATCAATATTACGATCTTGCCGCTGATGTTTTGGCCGAAAATGTACATCTGACTTATAAATATCTGACGCCGGTAAATTTAGTTTTTATACATTCATTCATTAGACATAAATTTAAACGCTTGAATAGATGAATTTTATCTCGTATATTTTATATACAAATGGCATAAAATATAATAGCGAGCTTATATTTATTAAGAAAAGCGTGGTTGATATCAATTAATCTGAATGCTTAATTTTCGCATGCTTGCATTTTTTGGTATGCGGTTCGTGCTCCTCCAAGTGTTTCCGTTTGTGAGCCTTTACATCGTGGCTAGATGACGAGTCGCTTGAGCTGCTACTGTACTTCTTCTTGTGCTTCTTATGTTCCTTAGAAGTTTTCTTCTTTTTCTTCTTACTTCTCTCCTTGTCCTCGGCCTCGCTGTCGTCAGAGGATTGTTTGCTCTTTTTCGACTTTCTCTTCTTCTTTTTTGACTTGTGTTTCTTTTCTACTTTTTTTTCAGTGTTTTTTTCGTTATTCGGTTCTGGAATACTTTTCTCTTCGATTTCCGGGATCAGTTCGTACTTCTTACCATCGGGAGACATAAAGCAATCCTTGGACAAATGTCCTTTGGTTCCACACTTGGTACATGTAGTATTCAATATTGCTTCTAACTGTATAACCTTTCGCTGAATCGTCCCTGGGTTCTTCTTTCGTTGTATGTCTCTCTGCAGCTCGACGCCGTTAGGGTCCAGGTCTGTGCCATTTCCTTGATTTACATACTTCATGGATAGCCCTATTTTACCATCCTCCGTAATGGAGATTATCTTACACCAGACCCGCTCACCCTTTTGCAAAACCTCTGCAACATTGTCGACATGAACCGTGCTTACCTGACAGAATTTTATAGAAATCAATAGATGTTATAAGTAGAATTGTGTTGGCTATTATATCGTGATCTAATAATACACACCTGCGACCGGTGTACCAAGCCCTGTTCCGACGTACCCGGTATTCTGATAAAAGCTCCATAATTTTGAATTGAAACAATTTCACCCAAGAATATTTTATTTATACTTTCGTGCTTGTCCATCTTGCTTCAATTTCGTAACGGAACAATATCCGTCACGCAACTAACAGACAAGTCAATAGACAAATCAATAGAGAAAAAAAATTGCGATACAGGTTAGGTTTCTATCAACAAATGCAGGGCCGTATAATATCGACATGTCCATAAATATTAGGACTAGCCAATATGTAAATAATATTTATTTGCATTTATTTTTATTTTGCAAGATTATTAAATTTTTGATAACTGAGATATTTATAATTTCCGTTAAAACTTATAGAAAAGTGCAACAAAAACTTAATATAAAAATTAAATATAAAAAATGTGTAGATTATTTTTAATCTTTTTAATTATATATTTTTTTTTAATTAGAAAAAATAAAATAAATTAAAACATTGATAAGAATGAATGATAATATAAGAAAGATTATAATTTTTAATACTATTTTATTTTAAGTATAAGAAATAAGTTCTGGTAGATATGCAATGTTCTAGTTAGAATTCTTTAAATATGAATTATTGTTTCAGTATCTGTATGATTTTTTGGACGCACTAATAACACAACAAACTTCGCCGGAGGAGGCATATCGCAAATTCGATGATCTCGCTAATAAACATACGGAAACACTTCGCAAGGCGACTAAGCAGGTTCAAGAAGCGAGGCTAAATCACGATGATAACGCCGTGAAGAAGGCTGTTAACGATTATGAGGAGGCTCTCGATAGATATGTTCCCGTGTTAATGGCGCAAGCAAAGATTTACTGGGACCTGGAGAACTACACTCAAGTGGAGAAGATCTTCAAGAAGAGCGTCGAATTCTGTAATGAACACGATGTATGGAAACTCAATGTGGCTCATACGCTGTTTATGCAGGAAAACAAATTTAAGGATGCGACGCGTTTTTACGAACCGATCGTCAAGAAGAAATATGACAACGTTAGTACCAAGTAACGCGCGTTTTCATGATTTCTATTTCTTTTTTCTTCGTGATTTGTTGCAATGTCACATTTGCAGATCTTGGATGTGAGCGCTATAGTCCTCGCAAATCTTTGCGTCAGCTACATCATGACTTCGCAGAACGCGGAAGCCGAGGAGTTGATGAAAAAAATCGAGAAAGAGGAGGAGGCGATATCTTTTGAGGATCAAGACAAGAAGCTCTTTCACTTGTGCATCGTGAACTTGGTAATCGGGACGTTGTATTGTTCCAAGGGTAACTACGAGTTCGGCATATCGCGAGTGATGAAGAGCTTGGAGCCGTATAACAAAAAACTCGGCACTGACACTTGGTTCTACGCAAAGAGATGTTTTCTGTCGCTTCTGGAACAATTGGCGAAACAACTAGTAGTCCTGAAGGATTCCACATTACAAGAATGCATCCAATTTCTGGAGCACTGTGAAGGTATCCAATATTATATCCAATGTATGATCTCAACCGAATCTTAATTAATTTATTTGTATATTTCTGGAATTTCAGTTTACGGCAAGGACATAATGACGGTGATAGATCAACCGTTCGACATACAGGACATGCTAAATGTTTCACCTCAGGGCAAACGGACGGTCGTCTACGAAGCGCGGTATCTAAAGGCGTTATTCTTGAAGCTGCAAATGTCTTAAATTCATATACGTAAAGAAGGACTTGTATATATTATTATATACAATTTATTTGGCAATATCTTGTAGTTATTTTAATTGATGTTTTGAATTCGTATTGTTTTAAACAATTATAATATAATATATAAAAAAATCAATAATCTGGAAAAAAATTTTTAACTTAAACAAAAGTTAAACATTATTATCTTTATTATTTATGTTGTAATTAATTATTACCCAATCTTATTGCCTAAACCTGAATCATTTAATTATCCTGGAAAATTTTCACTTGAATACTAGATTTATTTAATGGTCACGCGTTTAGCAGAACATTTAATTTGCAATTGTCGAAAGTTTTTTTCTGCGTTGAAATTGGATTATTCTTTTAAAGAAGAAAAGAATTGGATGTATAATCCAATATGTAATAAAATATTTATTTTGCAATCATTAAAAGTTTTTTTACGTGGAGATTGGATTATATTTTTAAATCCAAAAGAATTCTTAATTTCAACATAAAAGATTTTCAACAGTTGCAAAATAAACGTTCCGTTGAACGCGGCCAATATAATTTATTTTATATTTTTCGCGTTCGACGTAACGCGATGATTTCTTCGAATCTAGCGGGTGATTTTAATTCACTCGTACTTCCGTATAGGGTGTGACCATCGCGGTGGCACGACGTCGCCTCGCGTTAGATCTCTTTGTTCTGTCTCGATGACCCTCTCGCTCTTTCCTCCGCGAAAGTATAGGTCTGAAAATCGTCGATCATCGTTGATCATCGGTTTCTATCGTCACGCCGAGAATATATAAAGGAGGTACACGTGCCTGTCACATCAGTGCATGCGACCATCGTGGATAAGATCGAGGTCTGATTTGTCAAAGTCCTTGTCAAATACTCCACTATTCGGGAATTCGAGCGACGTACGCTCTGATAAAATTTGGGCGATTATTCATCTTCAAAAGTTCATACGTCACTTCGGCAGAAAAGAGAAGGGAGAAAATCCGCACGGCGACTTAATTCGCGAGGTCCTCATAGTTTTTCATTTTGGCTGAGTCAAGGTATGTCGTTGTTGCAAAATTCATCGTGACAATTGCACTCTCTCCTCGCACCTCCTGCTTTCATATGACGTTTAGCTTTGTGTATGAGGTATATATCTCTGATCTTAAGCTTTTGCAGTTCGAATTTAAGATATTTTTCCGAAAAACTGCTTTATTCGATATCGGAGATAATGGGAGTTATGATGATTAAGAAATCTTCTTGAAATATAAAAAAATACTTCTTTTCAAAGTCTAAAATCTTGTTTTGTGTTCATTTATAATTTAAATTAATTTTTTGGTTTGCTTTTTTTCAATTTCTTAAAATTAAAGAAAAATAAAAAGTTAAATCAAGATTAAAATTAATCTTGGTAAAAGTAAATATAAGAAAGCTGCATCTTTTTTAAAAAGTACATTATGTCCAATTTTATTTTCTCATAAAATCCTGATTAATAAAATATAAATTTTTACTTTCAAAGAGGATGCGATTATGTTCATGTCATCTATTCTGATTTTGTTGCATCATTTTTGTAGATATCTCGTAAGACAACTTACGACGTAATCAGAAATGGAATTTCCAAATTTGGGAGAGCATTGCTCCGAGAACACCTGTAACCGCTTGGATTTCTTACCTCTGAAGTGCGATGCTTGTCAGGGGATTTTTTGTACGGATCACATAACATATACAAGTCACAGCTGCCCCAGCGCATACAAGAAGGATGTACAAGTGCCTGTGTGTCCGTTATGCGACGTTCCTATACCGATAAAACGTGGCGATTTACCTGATGTGGCTGTGGGATTGCACATAGACAATGATTGTAAGCAAAGCCGTAGGAAGGTGTTCTCCAACAAGTGCTCTTCAAAAGGATGCAAGGTCAAGGAGATGGTGCCGGTGAAGTGTAGCGAGTGCGGTGCCAATTTCTGCTTGAAGCATAGACATCCTACTGATCACGCTTGCATTGGAGCAGAAGAGGCGTTGAGGCTACGCAGGTTGGAGGCACTAAACAAAAAGGCTCAAACGACAATATCACAGAACAGCGGCAATAGCAACTCGCATCTGTTCCGAAGTCTTCAAGGGACAATGAATGAAGATGAGGCGTTAGCTAGGGCTCTTCAAGCTTCTTTAGACGACGAGGAGAGAAACAGACGTGTATTACAACCAGTGCCTTCTGGAAACAGAGATAGATGTAGACTTTCGTAACTATCTACACGTTATTTTATACCGTTCTAGAAGCAGGCTTCTTTCTTGTTTTCTGATAATCTATGAGCATTAAAATATATGTTTCATCTTAAGCCAGCGACAGGTTATCTGTAATTCATGATGTACAATTCGCCACTTATATGAGATTTGTAAATGAGATGCATGAATAGACAAATCTATCGAATTTGTAATCATTGTTTAACTATGCCAATTTACTAAAATGGAACAACTTCTTGATGGAATTAAATAACGGGAATCGATACGGATCAGTCAATTTGTGTATATAAATCTATTTGAATAATTAACAAATAAATCACAATGTTTGTATTGGTAAATTTCTGCAAATCTGTTAAAAATTGTATAATCTGGCGTTAGCTTAAAAGACGTACAGATTTGATGATGCGTATAGCGGAAATTACTTAAATATTACATTTGTTGCTTTATCTACTTTTGATCTGTTACGTATTTTTATAGATATAATTGCGATTATACCTGTAACAGTTGTCATATTATTGAAATTACCACGTTTTTCTAAAATTGCTCACGTAATTAAGCGCACTGTAATTATGGCGTCTTAAGAGATTCCTAAGCAAGATTTTATCTCAAAGCGTTTGTCTTCAAAAGAAAAGATATTGTCATTAGATAAGATTTTATGTTAAGTTGCAAGTACAAATCTTCATAATTCGATATTTCCTCTTCATGTATCATAAATGTGAATCATTCCATATATTTCATTTAGATTATAAAATCTGGCTTACAACCAGAAAAAATATATTCTGTCGAAAATAAAACAATTCTGATAATACATGACAAAAAAAGCTTCAGTATAGAGTGCCTTAGTAGATGAAGCATAATCATTAAGATATATTAGAATGCGTTTACATAAAATCTCTCAATTTTAATAATTATAAAAGAACATAAAAATTATTTTAATTCACGCTTATTAATATTCGACTTGCTTTAAAAATTGCTTTCAAGTACTGGCTACATATAGGTTTTTATATAATATAAAAATATATACTTGTGTATTAAAAATACATTATTTTCAACAGAATATTTAAATAAAAGAAAATTCTTTATCATTATAACGTATTTCTTACTAATAAGATTTTAATAAACGACATAAATTAAGTTTTTGGTACAATATCAAAAACTGTGATGGTGGGAAAAAGTCGTGTATATTGTATTGATATCTAGGCGTGTTCATTATATTAAGCAGAACTTTAAAATAGAAATCATGTTTGGACATATCACAGTCATGTCAGATAGGCTTCTTACAGAGATTCCTCAGAATATCACCAGGATAAATAAATGTATAAGCTTTATACTCAAGATGCTGCATTGATATATTAAAACTGATATTCATAAATTCTGTGATAACTATCATATTTTTATAAATATATATAATTTTACACTCAGTTTCATTTAACTTACTTTATTTCTTCGAAAGTGTAGAATAAGCACTTTCTTTTTAAAAGAAATTGATAATATGAGAAAAAGTATATGTATACATGAGGCATGAATTTTTTGAAATAATTATAATAAAACAGAGATCAATAAATATATCTGTAATATGTACGAATGTATTGACAATTAATGAATATAGTCAATAGCAGATGCTTTATGCTTGCCACTATACATATATTTATCAATAAATAATGATACTTTTAAAGACTTGAAAATAATACAATTCTTGATAATATATGAATAGAAATATGCTTTTTACTAATTTGAAAAGTTTATTAGTATTGTTATATTATACTTGCCTATGTTTCAGAGCTACTGGAAAGCATAAAAACATTTATTGTCTCCCTTATTATGTTTTAAAGAAATTTTAATATATAACAATTTTGCAATTTTTCATTTTTATTCTAAAAAGTATTTTGAAGTACTTTAATTTAAATCTATAAGTATATTGACTTCCAGTAGTTCTGAAATGTTCAAAATATGTAAGAGAAGGTGATTTATTACACACACACACACACACACCACACACACACACACACACACACACACACACACACACACACACACACACACACATCTATATATAGATACATCCCGTGCGTATCTTCTTATACATATTATAGTAATTTATATTCAATGGATTCTGATACTGTAAGTAAATTTGAAATAGATAATAAAAGTGAAATAATGATAAATATATTTCATAATTTCACGAATGTGTACCGATGTATATACATACACAAAAGTTCATTGATATAGAAAGTGATTTAAAACAATCCTTTATCTTTTATAAGACATATTTTTGACTGAATTCTGAGATGACATCTCCTTTGGCAAAATTTTATTTAAAGTTTGATTTCTAAATTATTAAAAAAAATTAGCTAATCATGTATCGAGTATAAGAGGTAAACAGGAGCGGCACAATTTACTGTTATACGAATATGCTTATGCAGAGCTTATGACTAATCAGAGGCGATGAATTGCGTCACTACTACTTATTTTCTATATCCCTGCCCAATACGCAAACTATTTGTTTTTATAATTTAAAAACTAAACTTTAGTCAAATTTTGAAAGAAAGTCAAAGAAAGTCTCAAAATTCGGTCAGAAATATATCCTGTAAAGATAACAGGTTGTCTTGAATCACACTTATATAAATTCTTAATTTGTTCTTTATCTAGAACTATCTAAAATTGTTGTAATTATTACATGACCAATGAAATAACTTTGAAATAACTTTTTTCAATAATTTTTTTAAATGCATATACTATGAAATATGTATTGGATTTAGAAATAT